ATATATATATATATATATATATATATATATATATATGTATGTATTAAATATAAAAAATATATGAGAGCTTTGAGGATCAATACGACTTCAACAAAAAGGAAAAAAATAAAAGCCTTTTATTTCTACGTTGGAGAAAAGCAAGAAACAAACATGAATGACAAGTTTAATCTTTTTTTATAATAGAATCTTCAATTTAATTAAAACTTGTATAAAATGGATGAAATAATTAAAAAACAAATTAATTTCCCTCCATATGGGCTCCTTGGTGACCGAACCTTACTTGGAGAGAGGGTACCATGTCCATTTCAAATTTGGGACAAATTTGGCTTATTATGGAAAAAGGTATATAAGAGGTGTAAGTAAGCATTATGTCATTTGAGTGTAATCTTGTTTTATATTATGGTTTAATATAGGATACAAAATGAATCAATTCAATCCATCATCGATTTGTCGAAAATGGGTTACGTTGAGTTGATCCAAAAAAAAAAGAACAAACCATAAGTCTTGGCTCACACAAAAAGAAAAAAATTAAAAAGAAAAAAAGAAAAAAGTTGTATATTTATTTTGAGTTACTCTTCCAACATATTTTTTTCTTAATATCTAAAGAATTTACATAAATTAATGTATCTAAATAATAATAAAAAATTAACAATTACATACAATAAAATAAATCAATTGCACAACAATTTTTTTTATAATAAATTATAGATTAAACACAAAATAAATCTGAAATAACTTAATTAAATTTATATTAAAAATTATAAATAAACAAAAAAACATAAAAAGACGGGCTAGAATACTTGGCCCAACCTGCTAACAAATTAGTTTGATTGTTTCATTAACTAATAAAACTTGAAGTATTTTGAAATTGGTGCAACATAGTCAAAAATCGATTTAATACGGTGAAAATGAGTAAAAATTGATTAAAAAATTAGTTTGAACTAATATTGTTTAAATATAAAATACTTTTAAATTTTTAAAATTTAAAATATTTTAAATAAAAATGAAATACATATTTAACAAGAATTGCAAATTGAAATAAATTATTTTATCATTTAAATTAGTTTATAATTTTCCTTATCTTGACTTTTTATAATTTTATATTATATTAATTTGATATTTATCTATTTTAGATACAGACCTATTATTATTTATAGCCATTATTATATAATGTTTATTATATTTAATTTGAATATTTATATATACTTTGAATATTAAAAATTTATAAAATAATATTTTATTTTAATTTGTAAAATTATAAAATATATTTATTATTATTTTGTATATTAATTAATTAATTAATATTATTTTATTAATTGTAATTTAATCATTTTTCAACTATGATTGACTCATGTTGAATCCATACCTAAATCGATTTAATGAATCACCCAAATTAATAAAAAAAAATCGCTTAAAACCTTACATTGTTACACAACTATAATTTGAGTATGCAGAAAAAAAAATTAATAGGATATTACTAATGGTTGTTTTAGTGCTCTAAGAAGACAAATCAACACAGTTACAGTGACAGAAAGCATAGCAGAGATAGGGGTGATTAAAATAATCAATTATAAAGAATATTAATTATAATCATAATTAATTAATTTTATGATAATTGATTGTTCGAAAAATAGTTATAAAAATTAATAAAATTATAACTATTTTTTAACACCCGGTTTTAATTTATCATAACCGATTTTAATTTTAAAAAAAAAAACGGTTATATATCATAACCGGTTATTTAACTAGTTCTAACTAAAATCAATTTAAAATTTTTTAGAAAAGTAACTTTTAAATTTAATGAACATGATAATTTTTTATTTTATGTAGTTAAAATTTTATAATAATAAGTTTTTAATATATAAATAACATCAAATGAAAATGATATTAAATAAATATTTTTATATTATTATAGAAAGCATTTTAATTATAGATAATTTATTTAAAAATATTAAATTTTAAGTTAGAAATAAAACAAAAACAATAAGTTAAAAACGCTAGAGTTAAAAGATATAGCTAATAACGTTTTTATTAAAAAAATATTTTTAAAAACGTTCTCGTTCAAAATAATTATTTTAATTTATACTAATTAATGAAGATATTACGTCTTTTTGGTACATATATTTTTATTGACCACTTTATCCTGACTTCCAAAATATTATTTTCTCTTCCATACTTTTTTTCTTATTTAATTTGTATTCCTTTTTTTTTCACTTGCTTGTAATTTTATTTTTCAAACATTTTACACCCTTTAAATAATTACTCAAAATTGCTCACTCTATATTATTATTTACTTACACATATTTAAAAAATTTATTTTATTTTATTTTTATATTATATATAAAATACACAAAGTTACGAAGTAATTTTTTACATTAATTTATATAATGATGATTGCTAAAATATAAAATATTATTGTAAAAGTATATTAAATATAAATTTTTTCTTTCAAAACAGGTTATATTATATAACTAACTTTAAAAATATATCCAGTTATATAACTGGTTATTAAAAATTTAAAACCAGTTATTCCAAATTATAACTTATTATTAAAAATTAGTTATGATTAAGTTATAATAATTACTTATAAAAATGTAAAAATGGTTATTAAATGATTATGGTAAAGTTATGGGGATAATCTAACCATGAGCAAACCCCAAGCGTGTGGTTCAGCGGTAGGGGTTGATCCACGCTTAAGCAAGGTAGGGGTTCGAATCCTGCCTTGTGTATGCAGCCGCGTTAAATCTTGGGGCCAGCTATCCCACCCTTTGAGGTGCCTCCAACGTAGTGAGGACGAACCAAAAAAAAAAAAATCTTACCATGAGCAACCCTATAACGTAACGAGGAGATTAATCACTGTTGTCGGCCCTGAATACTCCAGGGACGAACCAAAAAAAAAAAATCTAACCATGAGCAACCCTAAGGAAAGAGATAGGAAAGTAGAGATCGGATAATATATATACATAAATGTGTATATATTATTGTAAATAATAAAATAAAATAAACTTTTTTATAAGTTAAAAATAAAATTAACTTATGAATAAGTTATTCTGTAGAATTTTTTTATTATTAATTTCTCTAAAATCTTATTTTTAATTTATATATAAGTTAGTTTTAATTTTAAGTGAAAGTTATCTTGATTTTCTTTTTCTAGAAGTGTTTTCAGAAAACTTATCCAAACAAACATTTTCTCTTTTATTCCAAAAAATGTTTAATATTAATTAACTTTTTTCATGTATACTCTTATTCAACTATTCCTCCCTGCTCTTCTTAAAGATATTAAATAAAAGTATTTTGAACTTAACATACTAATATTAAAAAAGAAATTAAAATGTATAAAAATCTTAAACATAAGGGAAAAAAAATAGTATTACGGTATGAAGGAAGTATAGCAGTGTCTTCTATATCATCTTTTCGTTAAGCTGGGGTTTAACAGATTATCCTACAAGTGGCTCTTATTCTTTAATCATCTTGACGTGATGTTTGCTCTTTTCTAAATCAACAGATGAAATTTAAGCCAACGATGATCGACACATTGGTATTAAAAGCTCAAATGCTCACAATACGCTAATTGCCAAGTTACATAATTATTAGCATAATCATATAGTGTGCAAGTTCTATGCACCCAATGTTTAAAATTAATGATGCCTGCAGTGTACTAATATGTTATAGACTACGCTTGAACATCATCTGAATAAAGTAAATACTAGCTATATGTCTGTCGAAATATTTTCTCATTTTAACTCCAAATTGCAAGTTTGTGTGAAATCATTCTAGATATAGTTTTTAAAGTAATAAATATAATTTTACAAATAAAGTAATTAACGCTACGTTGGAGGCACCTCAAAGAGTAGGATAGCTGGCCCCAAGATTTAACGCGGCTGCATACACAAGGCAGGATTCGAACCCCTGACCTTGCTTAAGCGTGGATCAACCCCTACCGCTGAACCACACGCTTGGAGTTGTCTGCATTCTAATTAAATTCTATATAATATCATTTCCACATTTTAAATTTTTTTCTTCTGCATTAAGAGTTGTTAGATTTTGGAAATTGTAATGTCACCATTCCTGTTGTAGAGCTTTAGCGTACTATGAAGTAATATCAGAAAAGCGACCATTCGGTGGAATATTTAACTTGTATATTGCATGGCGTACTCTAGTAACGAGCCAAGAGGCAAAAGCCTTTATCAGCAATAGGAAATTATTTCCTCGTCGTTTTTCTAAGTTTTGGAAAGGTTACTTCTAAAGAATCATTCCTCCAATGATTTTATGTATACAAAATAATTTAAAATTAGAGAAACATTTGAAATATACTCTCACATACTCCTTATGATGGATGAGTTTTATTAAGTCCTATTAAGTAGTGTACACCTATTTATTCTGAGACATGAAATTACCTAATAATTAAAAGCGCATATAGGGAAATAAATGTTGATGAAATTTTACAGTCCATGTCCATTTTGCTTGAAATCAAAATGATAGTGAACTAGGCAAAGACAGATGAACGACTAGAACATTAACAGTCAAAACAATGAAATATTGAAAGATTATTTAGAAAAACAAAAACAGCTGTTTACAATAATGTAGAGCTGTAGACATTATAATTGGTGGCAATTGCACAACTCCAATTAAAAGTCAACAACGTAAGAACAAATAGAACCACAGTTCACGACATATATAGCCGTAAAAGAAATGCCGGCCAAGCTCATAATATTCCATGAGTAACACTCTAAACTAAAAAATATGCGCTCCTAACATGCATATGTCGTACTTGTTAATAGTACAAGTCTACAAAATCTAGTTTCCTTATTATATATTGATGTTGTGCGTATGTTCAAAGCACACCAAACAAAAGAACCTTTGCATTTCATTCATCCATCAAGCAGAAAGTTTCTGCTGAAAATGGATTCCTTCTTTTTCATCGCTCTCACTTTCGTGTTGAGCTTCCATTTTGCTCATGGAAGTGAACTACCATCTGCCACAAGCAGTTCAAAAACATATATTATCCATGTAAAGGGGCCACAGGGTAGGACCCTTTCTCAATCAGAAGATTTAGAGAGCTGGTATCATTCTTTCATGCCACCTACAGTTATGAGCTCCGAGGAACAGCCTCGAATAATTTATTCATACCGGAACGTGATGAGTGGTTTTGCTGCAAGACTCACTGAAGAGGAGTTGAGAGCTGTGAAAGGGAAGAATGGCTTTATTTCTGCTCATCCTGAAAAGGTATTACATCGTCAAACTACACATACCCCAGAATTCTTGGGGTTGCAGCCACAAACGGGATTCTGGAAGGAATCAAACTTTGGAAAGGGAGTAATTGTTGGGGTGCTGGACTCTGGAATCACGCCTGGTCATCCATCATTCAATGATGCAGGAATGGCACCAC